CCTGGACTCCGGGTCCACCGATTGCCGTCGTTTTACGCGCCCATCCATAATTATTCCAAATAGAATGACCAAAGAAGGTAGGCAGTCACCCGATACCGGTTATTGGATTCTTTGGTCTTGTGTGTCCCAGACACGAACTGGGAGTTGGAGTTGGAGTTGATGATTTCTTCTTTTTTTTTTTTTCCTTTGTTTAACGCATTTTCTTCATGTGTGATTTTTGACGACACGATCATGATTCTTTTTTTTTTTTTTTTTTATGCCATTCTTGTCTACTATACCATCTATACCCCTGCAGGCCATTCAAATGTACCGCAAATTTCATTTTACTATAATCCCACCATACCCCGGCATTTTTATAAATGTATAAATGTATAGCTCTAGCCTCCCAAGGTTGGGAATTTGACAAATCCTTTCAAACGATAACTATAAAGTTTAACTCTATTAACCCAACAGCCGTGGCTCGGTTGGCCGTCATACCCGTGGACCCAAGCGAGATAAGCGATCTTCGATCTAGCGGAAATCGATTCCATGAAAAGGATAAACTTCGGCTTATGTAAAGCGGAACAAAGTGTAGGAAAGAACATTGGAAACATTCTTTCCAAGATTGTAGCTACAACCTTTGTTGAAACGTTGTAACTAAAACGTTCCAAGGTTCTTCCAAGGCATTATACGCCCCAGGATTGGATATCAAATCTCCCGAGATTCAAGTACAAAGTCAAGGTCCCACAGGTCGAGAAAAAAAAAAAAAAAAAAAAGGCCACCCAAAACTCTCTTTCGGTGGCTTCGTGGTCCTGGACCTTAGCGTTTGGCCAAAGACTCGAGCAACTCCACTTTATATTCCCGCACGCCTCAAATGACCATTTCGTCCCGTAATCAACGCTGGACAGGGAATCAACCACATCGGTCCCCACGCTATACTCGATGTGGTAAATAGACCTGCCCTTGTCCACCCCGTTTCTCTCCACCCCGTTCTCCCCCGCTAGACTAGTTAGTTAGTTAGTTCCGGGTCTCACGGAATGAGGTAAGTTAGGTAGGTAAATAGGTTAGGGAGGAAAATTAGAAAATCCATTTTCATTGCGGCTTTTCTGTTTGGATTTGGAAGAATCAGAGTGCTTTCGGGTAGTGTTGTTCATCTCTTGTGGAGAGCTGGAGATTATGTGGGTTTTTGGGCTTCGATCTGGACTTGGTCTTTGATACTATGACTACCTAGGTACCTAGTTACTTATGTATTAGTACCCAGTAAGAGTATGAGTAAGCTTGGTTTGAAATGGGGAGTTGTCCACGGGTTATTCTTTGGATTTATAATCATACTTATACGTTATTGTTTTTCCTCCTCTCCTGAGTAATTCCTTAGACAGTAGCTAACTAACTACATAACAACGGAGGACGGAGTCGAGCTGTCGCGGAATCGGCGGTGGGGCATGGTTAGTCTGTCTGGCGTTGTCGATCAGGGGTTCTCATGGGAGTCATAGGAATTTTCGAGGCTTTGGCTTTCGTTTAGATGACCTGCCTGCTTGAGCGATGATGTGCATTTGCTTTTTGTTTTGGTGGTTTTTGATTGGGCTTGGTGAATTGTGGCTGCTGTATTTGGTGGAGCATGGAGTAGTCTTATAATAGATGCTGTATAGGTACTGTCTATGTTGTACGGATGGTGGCCTACCTACATTGTAGGGACAATATTGCATTGGGGAAGATATAAGCAGCCCTGGAGAAGATTATTTAACCAAACTTCGGTAAGGAATACTAAGTATACTAAAATATACTCCATATAGTGTCATTTCTAAATAATTATCCTTCTTCCATATTAGATCCCAAGAATTAATACTACTATTAAGTTAATTAAGCTAGACTAGCACTAGTTATATATTCGTACACTTTCTACTACCTTAGCTAGGTCGAGGACTGAGAAAAGATGTGTTATGCCTACGAGGTGTCTAAGTACCTTTTGTATGGGTAAGTCATACAAATGATACCTAATTTCTAGATATTGCATCTGCTGGAAATACACGGTAGGTGTGTTGGGCGCTGGACACGGTTACCGGGCACTAATCTGATAGGAATAGGGGGTTTAATATGGATTATCTTTATCTGAGTCCAGCTGTAAAGTGGACATAAACAGCCATGATGATGTTGTAAGAAAAAGAAACAGAAAGACTTAAGTACAAAGCGTGGACTTCATAGCTGATCACTTGTGACTAGGTACATATCTACATCAAAATACCTCTACAGCGAAGGGAATGCCATACCATCGCCTCGAAGATCACTGCCTGCGGCATAAACCAGCTTCCCATCGTCATAGTATGAACGAATGATCTGGCCGCGACCAAACACAGCCCGCTTCCAACCGTTCAACACCTCAATCTTGTGACCAAGACGACGCAGTCCCTCCACAGTAGCATCACTGATACCCTCCTCCACCCACACCGTGCGGTCAGTCCTCTCGTCATCTGGCGCAGCAAGACAGAAACGCGGTGAATCGAGTGCTGCCTGGGGATGATATCCGAAGGCAAGCATGTTGAGCATAACTTGTACATGGCCCTGAGGTTGCATAAAGCCACCCATGACACCGTAAACGGAGTGTAAGGAGCCATCGGCAATATTAGTGATAAGGGCAGGGATGATGGTGTGGTATGGCCGCTTGCGGGGGGGCTAGGACATCAGGGTGGCCTTCCTGCAGCGAGAAATTGGCACCGCGGTTCTGCAGCGTGAAGCCACAGCCAGCAGGGATGATGGCTGTTCCGAACCCGGCATAGTTACTGTTGATGAAAGAGATGCCGTTGCCCTCTTGGTCCGTCACTGCGAAATACACAGTGTCGCAGTGGTTGTGCGCTGGACTGCCATGGTCCAGGATATCCGCTGCGCGTTCGGGTGTGAATAGCTTCGCCCGCTCTGCGAGGTACGCGCGATCGAGTAGGCCCTGTGAAGGCACGCTCTCCACGTCTGGGTCTGTGACCCACCAGGCTGCGTCGGCGAAGGCGATGCGCAGACTCTCAATAACAGCGTGTAGGTACTCAGCGGAGTTATGCTGGGCCTCAGTGAACTTGGGGATCTTGCCTGATTTCTCGAGTTCCTCCATGATGCCGAGTGCCATTAGTGCCACGATTCCCTGGCCGTTTGGTGGGTGCTCCCAGATCTCAACGCCCTGGTTGGCTTCGCCATCTGTGCCGGGTGTTGCTTTCGAGATGATGTCCTGGCCAGTGAACTTGAGTGAGATCGCGTCGACTTCCTGTGTCCCGGTCTCGGCGTGATAGGCTAGATCCTCGAGTGACAGGTAGCCTCCCAGGTCTTGCACCACCTTGACGATAGATTCTGCGACCCGTCCTTGGTAGAATCCTTTCTTGCCCTCTGCAGCGAGTGCGCGGAAGGTCTTGGCTAGAGTGGGATTCTTCATGATTTCGCCTGGACGCGGGGCTCGCACGCCATCTTTGGCTGAAGGATCAACTTTCAACATTTCACGGAAGTTAGGAGATGCATTGCGGATATCTTGCTCGGAATCATTCCACTGCGCGCGGATTAGTTCACGATACCATGGTGCGATTGCGGTTGGAAATTGAATACTTACACCCCGAGACGAAAGCTCCGAGACAGGGAACCCCTCCTCTCCCAGCTCAATAGCAGGCTGTAAAATCTGCTCGAGCGACAACTTACCGCTACCAAACTTCTCGATCGTATCAACCCATCCTGCAGCCGCTCCAGGTGTAGTCGTAGCTAGAGCATTCAACATGGGCATGTTGCCCGGCTGCCCGGGGGCTAGACCGAGATCCTTGCGGATTTTCTCTAAGCTGACATTACCAGGATACCGACCAGAGCCATTGAGCGCATGCACCTTCTTCGTCTCGGCATTGTAGAAGAGACAGAACATGTCACCTCCGATGCCCGTGGAGCCAGGCTCAGTCATATTTAGTCCGGCGGCTGTAGAAACATTAGATCAGTTCATTGTTTTGTGTTGTGTTGTGACTATAGAACTCGTGGCGAGGCTTACCAACAGCCACAGCGGCATCCTATGCAAGAGTATTATAGTCAGTATTACTGAAGTGGAATGCGACGCGTAGAAATGGACAAGGCACATACCGCTGCATTTCCACCTTGACTCAGGATCTTATGACCCGCAGCAGCGGCTAGTGGTTGGGTGCATGATACGATGCCCTTGGTGCTGTGAACGGTACTCCGTCTACTAGCAAATGGGACATAGTCCGCATTCTCGCGGGTGTATACAGCTTTGGCGTTGAGCGGCATGACTTGGAATGATGGAGAAGTGGGAGAGCGGGGGGATTATGAGGGGGGGATATCAGATGCTTATCAACCCCCCACCAATTTCCCCAGGACAGGATATGGTAGGGCTGTCATACTAAATCTGTCATACTAAATGGATAAAAGGAAGAAAAGTGGAAGGTTCCTCGGCAAGTCGGACGAATTGGAGAAAATTGGACCTCCGGGAGAAGTTGGAGAACTCTATAATTACATAATACAGCTCCAAACAACATGTGAAGAACTTGTTTCTTTACAAGATACACATGTAGTAAGTAGTTATAACTAGTTAGTTATATAACTAACTAGTTATCGAAATCAAAGGGATTTGAGAATACACCGCTGTAAAGGTATTAAGCCGCGTCTGTTACCCGATTAAGAAACAAACGGCCTAGCTTGTGTACATCTATGGATACTCCATATCGGAGCTGAGCATGGCCTCCCCGGTGCTTTGGCCGAGGTTAGCTGGAGGAGTATGATCTATCCACATCGCATCAGGCCTCATTTCTAAAACGAAGACACAGACCTCATCTGAAACGAAGACAAGTCGAACAGTCGAAATTCTTGTGGCGACAGAAACGTGATCATTTTAAATTCACCGCCCTGGTCTTCGGAGCGGCAATTAATCCCTCCGCCATCATCCCACTCCCCCGGACCATTCAGTTCCATAAACGTTCAATGGGGAGACTATAAAAGACCCCTGATCTTATCTGATGAAACTGATCTTGAGAAAAGGCCTCTGATGGAGCAGCATGGTGGTATTTGTCGACCTCGACGATGCACTTCCCGATGGATCGGCACATTTGGAGAAGCCATTTCCCTTGATGGTTGACCCCATCGCATCGGAGCCGGCCGAACTACCCACATCGCTTTCCTCGCCGAATGAAACGACCAACGAGATCCTAAATCCCAATCGGAATGGATTCTCCGCAGCACTGAGTTGTTATCCGTATGTATTTGCCTGTCAACAGGCGACAAATAAGATTCAGACTCAACTGACACGCCACACCATAGCATCGTAAAAGAAATCGCTCGCGCCATCGACCTAAATACCCTCTATGCACTGTCGAACATATGTCGCCAGTTCCACGTAAACTTGGCGCCGTTCCGCCACCAACTAGCGAGAGAGACTCTCCGGTGCGAGAATGAATACATCGAAACCCTAGCAGAGATGTTGGACAGCGGCTCTGTCCTCCCAGACAGTGTCAAATCAGTCATACGACTACTAAGCCGTCCCAGCGGCGAGCGAACCCGTATGACCCGCGGGAAGGTGGCCAAGTGCGCGCGCGACATGGTGGGCGAATGTCGACGCTGCGCCAAGGTTGTATGCAGAGTAAGCCAAATCCCTCCTCCCTCGCGCCTAACAAAGACCGCCAGGTTGCTAAACCAAACTCTGCAGAACTGCACAATCAAACCTCCTTCCCAGCCAGCCCTTAAAAACCGCATCCGCCGCCTCTGTCAACCCTGCGGAATAGCGCCACTCTCCTCCCATGTCTCCTACACAACCTCAGATCCGCAAAACCCCGACCCATCAAGCGAGAATACCGTCGCGGCAATTGCGTTCGCGCGAAACCCTTGCAATTGCGAGGAAGCCGTCTGGCTGTGTACGCAGTGTGGAATGACGCTGCGCAGTAATGACACGACATACCGTCGTGTCTGGGCGTGGCGCACGCGCTACAGCACGTACCTCGGCGGCGGACTGGGCACTGGTATTGGTGAAGGCTCCCAGGGTGTTAAGTGCGGGCGTGGTGAGAAATGTCTTGCTGCGCAGGAGATTGAACTTGAGGTTGACTGTGAGGCTGATGAGGGGTCTGGGTCCGGGAGTGATACCAGTAGTGCGGCACAGAGTCCTGCAGCTCCTCCCTCGTTTGGTTATGAGGGGATTGGTGTCTCGGATAGCCACGACGATGAAGAGCCTGGGTATTTCAGGCAGGAAGTTATTGGGCTGGGTGGTATTGTTAAGCATAAGTCTAAAAAGAGGGTTAATGTTGGTGCTTGTGTTGTTGAGTATGAGGATGAGAGGGATACAGGGAATTATCTTGAGAGGGAGGAGAAGGGTTTATATCGTGCTTGGTGTGGGTGGTGTTCTAGAGTGATTCCGGCGGAGAGCGAGCAGGCTTGATTTTATTTTGTTACTTAGTCGGACTGTCTGGTTTAAGGCTTTGCATGTTGCATATGATTCCGGGCGAAGCTTGTCTATTGTTTACGACTGATGGGATTGTCAAATTGGATAGAGATATATACTACGATGACAACAGACTGTGTATACGGAGAACCTCAATCAAAATCCTTGTCAAGCTGATGCATATTGAATCAAATCTGGCTAATAAAATCAAGTCAAGTACTCCTGCAATGATTCGCTCCCAATGCAAGCACAAATTCATCAAGCATACACATTGTCACATATAGGTCATTCTGTCAAACCACAAACCACCCCCGTTAAAAAAGTAAAAGACAAGGTTGAAAGTGAAAGTAAACCAAAAAACAAAACAAAATGCAAAACAAGCTCTATGGTCTCAGTGGGCAGCAATCGCTCTCCAGATACCCTTCAGCTTCGACTCCTCTCGGGGAGGCGATTCCTCGCGTCTGTGGCGACGATGAGAGCGAACCTCTCTCGTCTCCCTGGAACGTCGGGAGGAGCTCTCAGGCTTCTTCTCCCTCTCCTTCTCTCCCTCGACTTCTCGTTCACGTGCATGCTCACGCTCACGCTCACGCTCCTTCTCTACCCGATCTTTCTCCCTCTCTCTCTCCTTCCTCTCCTCTCTAGATCGACCATGCTCAGCCGTCGACGAGCGTCGCAATCTCCTACTCTCAGTGCGATCAACACGCTCAGTGCGAGGAGGCTCCTCTTCGCGTCGTGACCGTGATCCGCTAGACCGACCACTGGAGTGTCGCTCTTCATGCTCCGCCCGATCCTGACGGCTACCACTGCTGTGGCTTGTCGATGACCGACGCGGTCTCTCGATCGGTGGTGCAGCCTTGGTGGCATTCAGGCGCAGCAAAGGCCCATTGGTATCCGACTTGCCTTCTGTCATGTACCGTAGGAAGGCACGGGGTTTGGGCGTCGGTACCGATGTTGATACCTGCTTCGATGAAGAGGTCCTGGTTGAGCGGGCTCGTTCGAGAGGTTGGTTCGAGGGGGTATCGGAGGTGCGGCGTTTGGATCTGGTTTCGATGACTTCGGCCTCCATTTCTGGTTCCATTGCCCTCTCCTTCTCCTTCACCTTCTCCCTGGACGAGCTCTTCGAGCGCTTCAATTTTTCGGGGGCAGGGATACCGCTACGCTCTCGTTCCTCGGCGAGAGCACGCTGCTTTCGCTGTATCTGTGACTTCTCGTCGTGTTGGCGTCGTGCTTCTTCCAGTGCCTTGGCCCAACGGTTGGTGAAGACGTTTCGCTCGCTCTTCTGACGCTGGAGTTGATCCCGGCGGCCTTCGGATGATGTCTTGGACTGCCGACGCTCTCCTTCGATCGGCGAGGTACGCTTTCTGCGGCGTCGGGAGTGGCGGGCTGCTGCGGCTTCTGCGCTTTCGTCAAGAGGCTCGGCGTCGATCATCTCCACCTCAGGCTGGACGTCTGCTGGGGGTGGTACGAGCTCGTCGGGCGCCACTTCGTCGCTAGCGGGGACAGGTACTGGCTCGGGGGCAGCTTCTGGTTCTGCTGGTGGGTCTTCGGCGGGGAGGTCTCTGGCAGCCTCTGGCTCAGGGGCTGGCTCCTCTGGCGGTGTCTCAGGCAATGTCTCAGGCAATGCCTCTTCCGGCGTTGGAGTTTCGACTGGGACTGCAGTTGCATCGGCCTCTGGTGTCTCAGCTGGGGCCTCGTCCGGAACCACTGGTTCAAACGGGGATTCGTCAGGTGCCGGGGTCTCAGCTGGGGCAGCTTCGACAGGAGCTGGCTCTTCGGGCGTTGGCTCGTCAGCAGGTGTTTCCACTGGGACCTCCTTTGGCGCCTCATCGGGTACGACTTCCGGTTCTGCTACGGCCTCTGCTGGGGTCTCGACAACGGGCGCTTCTTCCACTGGTGTCTCTTCGACCGGGGTGGGAGCACGTGCCTCCTCAACCACTGGTTCTGGGGCAGGAGTCTCCGCTACAGGATCTGCGGCAGCGGGGACATCTTCAATCACATCCTTCTCTTTAGCGGCAGGTGCCTCGGGGGCTTCAGGAATCGCCTCAACTGCTTCCGGTGTAGGAGGTGAAGTCTCTTCGACTGGCTCCTCAGCGGGTGATTCGACAACAGGCTCAGCAGCGGGTTCGGGAGGGGACTCAGGTGTAGGCTCGGGAGCAGCTTCAACAACAGGCTCCGCGGGGGGCTCAGCAACAGGTTCAGGAACGGGCTCGGGAGTGGGCTCAGCAGGAGCTTCAACGACCGGTTCAACCACAGGCTCAGCGGCAGGCTCAGCGACAGGCTCAGCGACAGTTGGCTCGGGTTTGGGCTCAGCAGGGGCTTCAACCACAGGCTCGGGGGCAGGCTCAGCAGCCGGTTCCGGAGCGGGCTCAGGGGTAGGCTCAGCAGCGGGTTCAGCCACAGTCTCGGCAGCGGGCTCGGGCTCGGGCTCGGGCTCAGCAGCAGGTTCAGGCTCGGGCTCAGCAGGGGCTTCAGCCACAGGCTCGGGGGGCAGGCTCAGCAGCCGGTTCCGGAGCGGGCTCAGGGGTAGGCTCAGCAACAGGCTCAGCAGCGGGTTCAGCCACAGTCTCGGCAGCGGGCTCGGGCTCGGGCTCAGCAGCAGGTTCAGGCTCAGGCTCAGCAGGGGCTTCAACCACAGGCTCAACCACAGGCTCATCAACAGGCTCAGCAACAGGCTCAGCAACAGGCTCAGCAACAGGCTCAGCAACAGGCTCAGCAACAGGCTCGGCAACAGGCTCGGCAGCGGGTTCAGGGGTAGGCTCAACCGGAGTGCTTTCTTCGACGGGTGCCTCTTTGGGAGTCTCGACTGGCTCGGGCTCCACAGCTTCCACTTTCTCAGTGGCTTCGGGTTCGGCAGCTGGTGCTTCCTCAACTGGGGAGGCTTCCGGCTCTGGTTCCTTGACAGGTTCTTCGGGAGCCTTCTCTTCTTCTGCTGCAGCTGGAGCAGCCTCGGGTTCGGCAGCAGGTGCTTCCTCAACTGGGGAGGCTTCCGGCTCTGGTTCCTTGACAGGTTCTTCGGGAGCCTTCTCCTCTTCTGCAGGTGGAGCAGGTTCAGGCTCCGCTGCTGGTGCCTCTGCTTCCACTGGTTGTTCGCTTACTTCAGGTGATGCTTCAGGCTCCGGTGCTGCTTCAGCGGCTGGTTCTGGCGTTGGCTCTGGCTCGGCTGCCTTCTTGTTTTTCTTGCCCTTCTTTTTCTTGCCTTTGCCCGCTGGCTGCTTGGGTTCCTCGGCGGCTGGTTCCTCTGGAGCAGGGGTATCAGGAGGATTATCTGCGGGCTTTTCGGGCTCAGCTTCAGGCTCCGGGGCTGTTTCGACTGCTGGTTCTGCCACTGGCTCCGGTTCTGCCACTGGCTCCGGTTCTGCCACTGGCTCCGGCTCTGCCACTGGCTCTGGCTCTGGCTCTGGCGTGGGCTCTGGCTCTGCTGCTGGTTCTGGCGCTGGCTCTGGTTCTGCTGCTGGTTCTGGCTCTGGCGTGGGCTCTGGCTCTGCTGCTGGTTCTGGCTCTGGCTCTGGCGCTGGCTCTGGCTCTGCTGCCTTCTTGTTTTTCTTGCCCTTCTTTTTCTTACCCTTGCCCGCTGGCTGCTTAGGTTCCTCGGCGGCTGGTTCTGGCGCTGCTGGTTCCTCTGGAGCAGGTGATTCATCGGCCTTTGGGGCGTCTTCCTCCAGGGCGTCTTCGGCGGCCGCTTTAGCAGCAGCCTCTTTCTCGGCCGCTAAAATCTCAGGATCTACGTCTATGTCAAAGTCCGGGAAACCTTCATCTACATACTGTCAGCTTCGTAAGAACTAATGTAAGTTTGGATACTGACCATTGTTGCCGTCGCCTTCTTTTTTCGTGTCTTTGCCTGCTGGAGCATCTTCTCCACCTTCAGGTTTTGCATCTTCGGGTTTTGCATCTTCTTCAGGTTTTGATTCCTCTTCAGACTTCGCACTGTCATCGGGCGCTGCACCGCCTTCGGGTTTGGATTCATCTTCAGGCTTTGGGTCGTCTTCGGGCTTCGGATCCCCTTCAGGCTTGGCTTCCTCTTCAGGTTTGGCGTCCTCTTCAGGTTTGGCTTCCTCTTCAGGCTTGGCTTCCTCTTCAGATTTTGCTTCGCCTTCGGGCTTTGCTTCGCCTTCAGGCGCTGCACCGTCGTCAGGACTTGCATCCTCTGTAGGTTTCCCGTCTTCTACAGCAGCCTCCTTGGAAGCCTCGTCGGGATTCTCTGCATCTGGTACTGGCTCATCCTTGCCATCTTCTTTAGCTTCCGGGGCAGCCTCGTCGGGTGAAGACTCGGCCGGTGGTGTAGCCTCTGCGGAATCTGAACATTATATGTTAATATCAAGTACAAAAAAGTAGAGTATAGATGCTTCGGCGATAAACCCCATCATCTATAGAACCATGTACTTACCTGTAGGTTCAGCGGGTGGGCTGTCATCGCCACTTGGCTCAGCGGCAGGAGGGTCTTCAGAGGCAGGGTCCTTCTCCGGTTCGGTGGTGGGCTCCTTGTTGTCCTGGTTTTGGCCCTCGGTCAGATCGGTCGTTGAATAGGTGACAGGGTAAAATTGGAAAGATTTAGTCTCATAATCAAAGGTCGAATATTGACGTTGGACCGATGCATATGAGAACTCAGGGAGGTCGGCATACTTGTAAGACATCTTCAACAGCGGCTGCCGCCGGGTCCGGGACAGGGTCGACGAGGTCTTTGTTCTCGGGTTCAGGGGGTGGTGCAGAACCGACGGCAGGGCGATTGTTATTGTTTTTATTGTTCTTGGTCTTCTTCTTACCCTTACCGGCCATGATACCCGGTCAATGACGTATCATATATCGAAAGCCTGGGCGAGGCTGACTGGCGCGTGATGTGACGAGAACCGGGACAATGGGAAATTGAGAAGCCGGCTTGTCGGGCTCGATGCACGGAAAAAGTATGGGGCGACAGGGGAAATCGAGGAACAAAAGATACAAAATATGGACAATTGAGGAGTGTGAAACTGGGTAGGGTATCTCATGTATTAGAGTACTAAAAGGGAAAGGAAGGATATGCTTGTTTCTCTGGTGACACAGAGGTCGCATTGGATAGTCATGGTGAGGCAGCGTATAATAGTTCGTCTCCTATGCGGTCGGATGGGACGACAACAAAGTGCATTACGGTCCTTGGGCCCTGAACGTCACCAATGAACTGCCCGATGGAGCCAATTGTCATTGGGCCACGTCGGTCGTCGGGTCTCCATCTCCAGGGCCGACATGATGGTTTAGTGAGGTCCGGTGCTTGGTTAGGGCCGGGTGAGAGCAGCAGAATCCCCACCCGCAGGAAGAGCTGCAGCACCAAGTAGTAAATGGGGAGATGGGATTGGGGATTGGGGTGCGCATCGGTCAAGATAGGAAAGGTAGTGCTGCAGGAGTATGGAGAAACTGGGTCTGTTGAAGTGGGGTGGATGCCACCGAATGAATTGAATTGAATTGAATTGACTTTGCTTTTTTTTTTTTCCTTCCTTGTTTTGGTTTGTTTTGGGCCTGGATACTACACACAGACACATATATTGAGATGAGAATAGAAATGAATTGGGCCGAGGGAACTTCGCAGGTGTACAGTACACAAAGCCACGAAGGCAATGTTTCAGTAGGAAAATCGATGGGCGAGGCAGAGATGATGCAGACCCATTTCTGCCCAACGTGTCCCGGTAACGGCGGCAAATAGGATGCAGGCGTACAAAGTACACCGGTGGGGAGATCAGGACGATTAACCTCAAAAGGGATCCGATACTGGGAGGCAAATATTCAAATATTGGAACCTTCAGCCAATTTCTGCATTATTCATAGAATCAAACTGGAAAGGCGAAACAGGGTGGTTGGGAATGAAGTTGTATGGAGCTTGATGGAGTCGTGGATAGTTGAATCTCCACTTTGGACACCGACACGACACCGACACTTCAGAGTATTGTCCGAGAATATTATTCTGTGACACTCTCAACTGTAAGGGAGCCAGCAGTTGAAATGGTGATGTAATATGCAGTTAAACATCGTGGACTGCATCAAATGTACTTTGGAAAAGAAAAAAAGATGACAATGGCGAAATCCGGAGTTTCATGGGGGATCAGGTGACATTGCGCATTGAACACTTGGACATCAAATTCTCCCTCGTCTCTGCGATCTTTTCACATTTCCATTCCACCTATGACTACATTGATCATCGCGTCAATACCAGCCACTCCTAAATCAACACGTCCGCCAATTCCTGCATCCAACTTGGTCCGCGAAGCACACTAACAGACCCCACGCCTAGTTAGTTATCTAGTCGATGTGTCGTCTTACAACAGCAGCTTCGTCACCGGGATCCTCTTCTTTCAAAATGGCTTATGTGTTCAGTTCGACCTAATGTACCTAAGGGTATAGATAGGTATCAAAGCCAACCTTCGAGTCTAAAAAGAGCTGCATGCATGTCTAGGCCACTTTTCGCTTTTCTAGCGGATTATCTCGGTGCTGACTTTTCGTGTTATTCCCCGATATGTTGTACTTCCTGATACAAGTCCTCAGCCAAATCGCCAGATACGGTCATCTATGTACCCAACTCCATGCAGCGGGCCGAGCATCCATGTCATGTTGCGGTGATTAGCAGATAGTGGTCCTCTCGAGGTGAACCCATCGCATTTATGAATATGATTGGTGGATTTGTTTCTATTCTCAGAATTGGGCCAGGCTTCTTGGGTTCTTGGGTTCTTGTTTGCATACGTTGGACCCCTACGGAGTAGACTCTTGGACTCTATTGTTGTATGGAGTAGATTGGCATAAACATCGCTCTTTTTCTCAACGAGCTGTTCCTTTGTCACCCATGCACTTGAAAGGGGTATGCCGATCGGAGAGGATACATCTGAAGGTTAATAGACTTTTATTCGATGTCTTATATTTGAGATTACAACTAGCGAATGGATTCGTTTGGAGTATAGCTTGGTAGGGATGTTCCCGGCATCGGATCTTGAAGAATGACCCGTGCGAGGAAAAGAAAAAACTACTGGCAGTGGAAGACTTGGTTTTTGGGGCAATGAAAACGTATTTGCGATATCGCTTGAAAAAGTACCCCATACATACCTTGTAGACCCTGGTAACTCCAGCACATGATCTCCTCTACTCCGTTATCCCGCCGGCGATCTCCCCTTCCCCTCATAGATGCATCGAATGTTCGCTAGAAGTGCTGGCTAGTCAAGAACATGGCGTGATAAAACTCTGATTGGCTGCCTCACTTTTCTTTTCATGCAGGTGAGTTAATACGCGCAGTATTACTCAGATCTATATCTTTTTCTATACTCATTGCGGAGTAGAGATTGAAGTGTGCCTATGTAGGTAGACAAAGAGCAACATAGCTAGTTTGATCATACGCAGTCAATTCCTCCTAATAATTCAAGAACCTCCTTTTCCCACCAGAGTATACGATATTTGGTACGGTGTGTCTAGGCCAAGATAATATGCACGATAACACAAATACGGGAGACTATATACGTACTAGCTTGGCATATGCAATTACCGGGACACGGATTGAATTGTCCTAGGAGAAGCGTGGCTCTCAAAATTCGAGGTGAGAGGCCCCATGAGATAGAAGTTAATACTGATCGTTATCGGTTTATACCCCGTCTGTAAGTGGAATTCGCATATGGAACCTGTGACCTTTTCTTGAACCTCCAGTCTGATATAGATAACTGATATATTGAGTCGCACGCTTTACTGCGCAGGCTAAGAGATGACGCAGGTATCGTAGAACTGGCGATATGGGATGAACCGAACGTGAGGTGAAGATGATGGGATAAAAAGCGCCCCTCGGACACTATAAAAGGTGTTACCTGTAGTTCATCTAGACAGCCCGACAGTGGCCATGGAAGTCGTTGTTCGGTCCACCATGAGGTAGTCCAAGAGGATGAAGACGGTGTTGATTCATAAATAATTCTCTGCTTCCTATTCCTTCCCGTCCTCCTCCTTGTGTATCATTCTAGCTAGGATGACCTTCAGTTACCTCTATGTCTTCATTACCAGTGGGTTATACATAGAGAAGTGCTTTCTACCACTGTTGTACACACCTAGAAAGACGGCAGCGCCGTTTTAGCCACAACTCACACCTGGTTCTGAATGCAGCATTCTACGGACCTCGGGCTGTTTGTGTTCCATTCAAGGAGTAGTGACTCACGCTGTTAGGACTGTTGACCGCTGCAACAACTGCATAGCCTTTGGAACCTTGCAACAGCTTTCGTGCTTCCTGGGCACTCGTCCCGACGGCTAACATGGCTCCGTCTACACCTTGATCAGCAGCAATCTCCTTAGCAGCGATGCCCCGGAAATAGGCAATCGCAATTGCAGCTTCGAATGAAACAAGGCCAGCAGTGAAGGCTGCTGCAATCTCCCCGCTGGAATGTCCGAGGACGGCTGCAGGAAATATGCCCCATGACTTAAGCAGAATGACAAGGGCAAGCTGTATTGCAGTACATGCCGGTTGACTGATTTCGGGATCATTGATCCGGGACTCGAGCTTGTCCCTGTTGAGTTCTTCGCTCAGGGACCACGTAGCTCCCAGAGTCACAAGAAGTTGTACTATAGGGTCTTCCGTCTTCCCTGGTCTCGTACTTTTGGCCACCGACTGCAGCTGATCCTTCAGTAGCCTTGTAGACTCTGCCACCAACGCGACACGGTGAGCGAAATGCGTTCTTCGCTGCCCGAGAGTATAGGCAAGGCTTTTGGCAAATTCAGCCGAGGTTGGTTTCCCTGCCAAGTAGTCTGCAAGGGAAAATTGGTAGGCCTCAAGACTATTCCGAGATTGCGCAGAGAAGACATATAAATGCTCCGCCACGCCGTTGTTGGCATGACCACTAGGCGTCATCATGTTGTTGAAACCTTCCAGTGTGTCAACATGACTTTCGATCATCTTCTTTAGCCGAACGCCTTTGATACCATGGTAGACATCGTTACCGTCCACTGCACCCTCAATGCCGTTCGTTCTGGTGCCGTTTCCGTTGGTCATCACGCGATGCTCCTCGGAGAGCTCCCTTGACCCCTGTTCGAGCAGGATCGCTGCATTGCTTCCACCGAAGCCTGACTCTTATTAGCGGGAATCATAAGGTACTCAAGAAGGTCCTTTTTGGGAATAGTAAACTCACCAAAATTGGTAACACAGACTCTCTTCCGTGCCCCAGACGGCCAGGGTATCGACTTGGCCAATACCTGACCCAGTTATTCACGGTAACCCAAACATCGGGCTTTGGGCACTTCAATTGCCTTACCTTTAATCGATCATGACCCTCGATTTCCGGGGTTCATCTCCAAAAAGTCAGCATTAGGCAGCATGATCCCGCGCTCCAACATCATGTGCATTTGATGATTGAGATCAAACCGCTAGCACCTTCGAGATGGCTGCACGCACAATATCAGCGTCCAAGCATGCAGATTGAAAGAAAGTAGGCAGCCCGGGGGAAACTGACCCAAAATTTGACTTCACTGCCCCGATATATACGGGATTGGAGGGCGATCTGTGACGTCCGACTACTGATGCAATAGCACCGGCATCGATTGGATCCCTAGCCAGTCAGCATCGTGTATTCGGCGAGACACCGAAGGCCACTCCAAAGAAAGCTCACCCAACAGGGGTTCCAGTACCATAGGCCTGTGTCGAGGATTAGCTTGCTGTTCAACCCTTTGTGATCATCGACACAAATATCTTGATATCTTGATTCTTACCTCCACAAATAAAGTCTCATCGGGATCCATTCCAACATCGCGATGTAAATTGAACAGAAGCTCTTCTTGGCTACTACGGGAAGGCAACGAAATACCTGTGTAGCTCCTGAATGGTTGCAGACGGTGTTACGAATGATGGCTCGGATCGAATCACCACAAGTGAGCGCGTCTGAAAGTCGCCTGATGATCAAACAGGCAGCCCCCTCGCCTTTTCCGAAGCCAGACGCCCTGCTATCAAAGGAAAAACTCCTACCTTCCGGTGAAGTTGCACTACATGTCAGGTCAGCCTATAACGGACCTCTTCTGCAATTAGCGGGCTCGCGACGAGCAGAATGATTGGGACACTCAGACTCAGGTGCCCAGTCGTTCGACATCTCGGATGCAATCCAGTCTAGTTGCTGATCACGGACATCGTGTCTCATGTATTCTGCTTACCGCGAGTGGGGATATATGATAATGAACATACCCCAGCTGATCAAGTCCTGTCCACCCAAACGGGCCGATGAGTAGATTCGAGCCTCCGACAAAGGCCGTAGAACAGTCTCCAGTCAGAATACTTTGCCACGCGAGATGCAGGGCGTAGGTACTGGAAGAGCAGGCCGCGTCTATAGCAACGCTTTGTCCAGTGAGACCAAAGAAATGAGACAAGCGGTTGGCGAACATGGATTGCGAAGATCCAAAAGCGGCGTACTTGGATGAGTTCATCAAATCCTTTGCGATCGCAATGGCGTGGTCTGGATCGGTACCGGATGCAAAAACTCCCGTGTTGGAGCCCAGGAGATCCGAAAGTGGAATACCAGCGCTCTCTGCAGCCTCGAAGGCACATTCAAGTAGGCACCGCTGCTGAGGATCCATGAACTTTGCTTCCTCGGCGCTGATCTTGAAGAAAGATGGATCAAAAGCGTACGGATCGTCTGGCAGAAAGTGACCCCCCTTGGACGAGATGAAGCCCGCTTTCTCCGCGTTTGGATGATAATAGGCATCATGGTTGAATCGGTTAGAGGGTACCGGCGACCATGCGAGTTTTCCTTGCTCCAAAAACTCCCAAAGACCCTTCCGACCAACATCGGGTGCCCGATAGGCATAGCCAACGATAGCTAGAGGCTGTCGCTGCGACATGGTGACTTTGAAGTCTTCTGCCTCGTGGTGCTGTGCTACCTTGGGAAGCGTGATTGTGGCTATGACGGTCGAACGTTAGCAGTCAGACTCTTGAAGTAGGTATAAGCAAAATGGTAGGACGAAGTAGTGCTGCACTGCTTCTTGGGTATTCAAGTACGAGCCTCCCTAAGACTGTTTTCCGGCTTGTTCGCCGCTTCAACTGGATACTCTTATTGGCTGCTGACGCATATCAGCGTACTCAGCTTACCACGCAGCCGCCCCCCTCGTTACGAGACCAATCGAACAAATGCCTCACGTTCCAAGTGGGAATCCTTCCGCTGCGTCGCTAAATCCTTCCGCTGCGCCACGCACGGCTGGGGCTAAATGACTGGAAGAGGAAGGGGTCGTTGATCGCGGCCTAACTTCGGCTCCGCCAAGCTCCATATTCCCTCAAGGTGAAGCGCGGTCCGTGCCGTGAATGGTAGTCTAGGCTCGTGGCTGACAGGAAGGCTGAGGCACTAAACCAGATCGAGCGCGCACAAAGTACCTAGGTAACCGGAGAATGGCCAGATGTCAAATGCAAGAGCAGGGCATGCAAGAAATGCCTCCCGATGCGGCTGTGCTGCATTCTCTTGCATTTTATATGCACACAGCAGATATCCAATGCTCTCGATTTCTTGTCCCACCATCTCTTGCCTCCTGTTGCCGCCTCTTCGTCGAAAAACATGCTCAAGAGTCAAGAGCTATTATCCCCCAGCAGCAGAGTAGACAGCTCCGGAGACCAACATGGCTGCAGATGCAAGCTTTGACTTCTGGCAGGGCAAGATTGGTACACCCCTGGCGATACTCTTGCGCAAAGCTGGCTACAACTTGGAAACGCAGTATGCGCACATGCGATTCATTCTGGACTGCACCGTTCCGGCCTTGGGGCCTGCGTACTCGCCCTCGGGCAATATTCTACCCTGGCAAAGCTTTATGACAGACGACCACACTCCTGTCGAGTTTAGCTGGGAATGGGGTCATACTGGCGAAGACCCGAGCATACGGTATGCCTTGGAACCGATCGGGTTCTCCGCAGGCGGCTGTCTGGACCCGTTGAATCTGCAGGCATCGCGAAATCTCATCAAAGAGCTCCAGCACACCGTTCCAACTCTCAATCTTCGCTGGTACAACCACTACGCGGAACGACTCCTACCAAACAATCATGCCCCGGTCTCGCAACATACGGCTTTGCTGGGGAAGTCCCCTGCAGATACCTCATCATCTTCTTTCATAGCCTACGACTTGAGGAGGAAAGGGCCCATGACAGTCAAAGCATATTTTATCCCTTCCGTCCGGGCAACCCATTCCAAAGTGTCGAACTTCGACCTCATTGTCCAAGCAATCCACAGCCTTCCAGAAGTTCGAGCCGGGGCATTCCAAGCTCTAGAGTTGCTGACGGAATTCACCCAGAAAGATCCTCTTGGCTCAGCACTGGAATGCGACATACTTGGTATCGACTGCGTGCCCGAGGAGTACGCGCGCCTCAAAATTTACCTGCGTTCCAGATGCACCAGTTTCGACTCGATCAGATCGATCATGACCCTCGGCGGTCGCATCCAGAGCCCAGAAAACGAGCGAGCCTTCCGCGATCTTTTCGAACTTTGGCAGGCACTCTTCTTCCCTGACAAGCAACAAGTCACAAGCACTGGCGGAGACTTACAGCCATGCGCCCATCGCACGGCTGGCGTTCTTTACTATTTCGACTTTTCCAAAACCAAACCAAAGCCGGTGCCGAAAGTGTACCTGCCCGTGCGCCATTACGGGAAGTCAGATTATCAGATCGCGACAGCGTTGTGTACGTATATGAAGCGAAGAGACAAGCAGCAAGAGGCGCGTCAGTATCTGTCAGCACTTGAAGAGATCTTGTAAGTCTCCCCTTCTCTCGCGCCTCCCGAGCCAACAGTGGACCACCATCGCTGACATTGTTTCCAGCACCAGTCGTAAACTCGAGAACAGCCTGGGCGCTCAGACGTATATAGCCTGCGCTATCAAAGGCGGCCAGCTCATGATCACGTCGTATATCAATCCCAAGATATACAGCAAGCCGACTAGCCATCTTTGAATTCGCCCCACACGCATACTGCGTATGGGTATTTTAATAAGTTAACGAGTCGAGAGGGCCCGACGAGACTGTCTATGTGGCCCGAGAGGACGGACGCGCGTATAGGTGTGCAAATAGACAGAAACAGCTACCTCACTCGCACTGAGGACCTGAAATCTACCAGCCAAAGTGGTGTCGTCCTAGTGGGGCAGGTACGGCCTGTCTTTGCTATCTCACTCGCACCGAGAACGGAAGTCTGGTTCCTGGAGTTCAAGTATGGGCTCCTAGGACTGCATGGGCTCCCAGGAATACCCGTGTCGTTCCTGGGGCCACCCGTCCGGTTTGTGAGGGTCTCACGTATACATAGAGGTGGATAATGTTTCAAGATGAATGATCAATATTAAGAACAACTATGGTTGACTCTAGATACAAGACGTAGCGCGAGGAAGCAAAAGAAAGGTAGCTTCCTCGCGTTCAGGGGAACTCATATACACCATGTGGGTCCCGCGTAGATCATATCTCCATCCGTTCCGTATGTTTCATGTATATCCCTGACATTACCCCCCTCCTAAACAACTAGGAGCTCCTGCGACGCCATAGTTCAGTAAGCGAAGGCCGATCTGGGCTCCTGCTGTGGAAGTCGTACAAGAGTTCGCCACTCCCTGGGACTAGGTCCTGTTGGGGTCGCCACGAAGGAGGGTAGCCTTTCCATTTCACGTAGTACTCCAGTCTTTTCTTTCCATGTCGATTCTTGGTGACGCGTGAATCCAATATCTTTTCGATCATCCATTCTTTTCTCTCGGTGTTATCTCTATTCAATCTGATTCAGGGTTGAGGGGATCCGAAGCTGCTGGGCGGAGCAAGCTCGTGTAGAACACGTCGTGAATTCTCATTACTAGGGGAAGCTCTAACCGGTACGTGGCTGGGCCTATGGCTTCTGCAACTCGAAATGGTCTAATGAACTTCTCCGAGAGTTTTCTGGCTGGTCTTTCTATACCCAAATTCCTTGTCTCTAGCCACACTTCGTCTCCTTCACGATACTATGGTGCTGGCATTCGGTTCTCATTTGCGTACTCAGCGTGTTGCGCTTGAGCCATGGCCATCTCCAAACGTAGTATTTCTGTCAATCTCGCCATTTCGTCCGCGCGAAGGCGTCCGCGGTACTGATATCCATCTGTTGCTTCGCGGGTAGTTTTCGTGTTCCTTGTCTCATTCGGGGATGTTGTCCGTACACGACGTAGAAAGGTGTCACTCCTGTTGTCGCCGACTGATGATTATTGATTGCAAATTCTGCAAGAGGTAACCAGTTGACCCAATCGTCCTGCAAATAGTTGACGTGGGCCCGGAGATACTGCTCTAGCCCTGCTCTAGCCCTTGGTTGGAGTACCCAGGGACGTGCTCAGCTTTACTCAGTGATCAAAAAGCGGCGAGAGGTGAGCATTAAAACGGAAAGGGAAAGGTCTCGAGTGCCAGGTAACTAGTTATTGTCCGGTACATAACTATGTCCAAAAAAGAGAAAGGCTGTTACCAACACCAATTGTGTTTATGCCAGGGCCATCCAAACCCCCAAAAATTAATATAAAAATATGCTTGAACGCCGGAGACAGCATACAAACTGGTAAAAAAAACCAACTCATGCCCGCATGTGTGCATCCATAGTCTTTCTCCACTTTGGGCCATTGACTCGCATCAAGAAGATGACGGAACTGCTCGCAAAACTGACAAGGCCGAGGATGGTGAAGAGCCATCCATTGCCGATACCATCGATGATCGGGGCAGTGACGACGGAACCGACACAGGAGAAGATGTTTCGCATGAAGTTGTTGAGAGCTACACCCTCCGAGGACTTTTTCGGCATGAATTCGGTGAGCATGGTGGTTACCATACTGAAAATGAGCATGGAGCCCATACCAAAGAAGAAGTTGGCAATCATCTGTCGGAGTTAGCGAGTGCTACTAATGTATCATGGGGACTATGTTGAGAGTTTACATACCGGAACAAGCCAGAAGACTCCCTTCTCCGCCGCCCAGCCATACCAAATCAGGGCTGCTGGGTACAAGAAAGCACCAAGCCATGCATTCTCACGCATTCGGTCTTCTGGTCGTAGTACCAGTCTGCCTTTCTCGTCGTATCGATTTGCTTTTCTCGCCTCCCGTTGCATGATACTGTCCATCCACTTGCCTCCAAAGATACTGGTCACCATGTAGCCCAGTGAGTTTGGAATATACAATAAACCAACGATGATGGTGGAGAAGTTATATGGTTCCCGTGCGAAGGTATGCTCAACACTGATATTGAGGACATACAGAGAACCGAAGGCGACACTGGCATAATACACACTGAGAAGGACGGGAAGAAATCGGAGGTAGAGAATGATTTTGAGTGGATCAATGAAGACCATCCTCATCGTCTTGAGCCACCTTGCAGTGGACCGAACAACCTGCTGCGACGAAACTCGACTCAACGGGCGGTTGATAGCTGGATCCTCGTCATCCTCCAGTCCAGCCAACACCGGCTTTTGCACGGCTAACGTCTCGGGAAGGGCGAACAATATAAAGATGAGAGTCAGAGCACCAAATGCCGAGAGGAACCACATGGTGCTCCGCCATCCCCAGCGCTGAGCTAGGAGACCACCAACAATGGGCGCAAACAATGGTCCGCACATCGGGCCTAAATAGAAGATACCCATAGCCCGTCCTCGCTCCCTAGGTTCCCAGAGATCGGCGATGGTGCCAGCACCAACCGCCTGGACAGAAGCAGAGGCGCCACCACTCAGCATCCGCATTACAACCAGCATTCCGATAGAATTCGAGATGGCACAAAGACAGTTAAATACCACGAAGAGAGCAAAAGAAGCCAGGTAGATGGTCCGTCGGCCAAGTCGTTCGCTGAATGATGACCACCACAATGGAAATATCGACATGGCCAGCATGTACAACGCAATTGACAGATTAGTGATGGTGGTTGTCGTATTCAACTCCTTGGTTACTTGTGATAATGAAGCTAACAGAAGATTGATTAGAGATGATCCGAGGAATACCCTATTTGTGTGTGATTGAAGACTTACGGAGAAAGATCGCGCTGCCCATTGGTGCTGTGGCTCCGGCAAGAGCGACGACAAATGTGATGAACCATTTCATTCGGCGAGTGTATGTCTTCGGATTTTCAACCTCTGCCACCAATGCCAACTGGCCGAACAAGCCTCTGCGCTTGAGTCGGGCGACCTTGATGGGAGGATCAACCTCCGTCAATTGGCGTTCTAGGCGTGGAGGATCCTCTGGGCCATGTTCTTCATCAGCGGTATTGCTGGATGCACCCGATAGGGAGTGGGTATCATTATTAACCTCGGGCTTTGTCTCGGCGTACTCGGCTATGATTGTCGGATGTTCTGTGCTGTCCGAGGATGCGATGTCGTTTGTCTCAGACTGCCTGTGCATATTGGATATATATGTGATGGGAGGAAAAGGCGACTTTTGCCAATTGAATATAAAATAAATCTGAATCCCAAAGAATAAGACTCATAAAGCTGTACTTTGTATAAGAGTTGAAGTCAAGTTGGGTCCAACAGTAAACAGCCCTGATCCAAGTAATTCAGTTGGGCACCTTCCTTGTAAAGAGCGTTGATCTACCCCCTCTCTGATATGCCTATTGAGATCAGCAAGAATGTAGTTACAAGGTTTAAATATATGGATGTGCCTCAGAAAGAAAAATAATAATAAAAAAGGGAGAGAAGATGAAAATTTAGAAGGCATTTGAAGATTCGACCGACAACGACCGACAGCGACCGAGTGTAGCTACATATGTAATAATAATATCTCTTGCAATTTAGGGTACCTAGGCACACGGTACCAGTGCTGGATTATTATCCGACATACCAACGCTAGTGGCTGTTCTATTCGACTACAAAAATACCGGATTATAGAGCCAGTCATCGTTGAGTGTGAGTTTGCCGGTCTTCCGTCGGCAAATCCTCAAGGCGACTCCATCCCGAGAGATTAGAGACTTACAGTGGTCTAGAGGTTATATGATAGGACAAAATCTATGGAATAAAATATGAAACATTCCAATGGCATCAGAAAGTATTTAATAGTCGCAATAGACTTCTCTTGGCTTTTATTATCCCTGCTTCCCCGGGTGCCACCATAGCTGTCAATATATACCCCAGAATCTTACTATTATTGTAAGTCCACCTACCACATCTTGTCCCACCATCTACATTCCGCATATACCTTTGGTACCTGGTAGAGCATGTGGTAGGCTTGCCACAATTATAGGACATATTCGGGTGTTGTGGTAGGTGACGGCGGACTCACCTGGGCAGCATGATTATATGACAGAACTGTCACCGAGGACAAGAGAGTGGAACTCGAATAATCCAGAAACATTCCTGTTTATATACGCCACCGGGTCATTGCCTCCAACCTCCTCCAATCCAGGTGGACCTCAAGAGGGCCCTAGAGCAGCAAGGAGGTGATTAATAAGCCTAGTAGACTGGGCAATGGATCCCCGAGGTCAACATGGCATAAAGACGGTGAACTCCACCGCATCCCTCTCAACACCTAAGAAGAACATCACCCCGTGAAGACAACATCAAAGATCAAAAACCAACATAACCATCCCAATGCAAACCAACATCAACCCGAAAGAGGTGCAGGCCCACCTTTCCCAATACACGGGCGACAAATACGTCGAGGGCTGGGCTTCTCTCTGGGACAAGGGTGACAATCTGCCCTGGGATCGGGGATTCCCCAATCCCGCCCTGGAAGACACACTCGTCAAGCAGCGCCCGACAATTGGTGCGCCTCTCGCTACCGATGCACAGGGCCAGTCGTATAGACGGAAGGCTCTTGTTCCTGGCTGCGGGAGAGGTGTCGATGTCCTCTTGCTCGCAAGCTTTGGCTACGATGCTTATGGTCTTGAGTATAGCGCTGCGGCGGTTGATGCGTGCAAGAAGGAGGAGAGTGATAATGCCAGTTGGTATCGCGTCCGGGATCAGACTGTCGGCACCGGGAAGGTTACTTGGATTCAGGGTGACTTCTTCGATGATGCTTGGTTGAAGGAGATTGGTGTCCCCTTGAATGGATTTGACATTATTTATGATTACACGGTATGAGTTCCTTTTTGTCCCTTTGTTGCTGCTTGTGTGTCTTATCCATGTTGTGAGATTCATCGCAATGCGGGGATATAGCCTCGGGATTTTGATAACAAAAATATTGCATCTGCTTTTGTCTATATATCATGTTGCTATGTTCACTGTTCTCTCGCTCACTATCATGCAGTTTTTCTGTGCTCTGGAGCCGTCAATGCGACCAAAATGGGCGCTCCGACAGACCCAGCTTCTGGCCCCTTCGCCAACGGGCAATTTGATCTGCCTCGAGTTCCCCCGCCACAAGGACCCCCAAGCCCCAGGGCCCCCGTATGCCTCTCCATCGGAAGCGTACGTGGCGCACTTGAGCCACCCCGGCGAACAAGTCCCCTACGACGCCAAAGGCGTCGTCAAGCACGAACCTCTACGGGCACCGAGCAAAGAGGGCCTGGAAAGAGTGGCGTACTGGAAACCAGAGCGCACGCACGAGGTAGGCCAGGGCGACAACGGGGTGATCCACGACCGAGTCTCGATCTGGCGCTGTCGTAACTAGATCAGCCGAAACCCCCAAGACAAGAATAGATCTGCCATGGCACAGTCAGGCCTCCACTGGAAATGCCAAGAAAGAAATGAGATTGTGTAGATCTGAGCTTAGGACTTCTTCACAAGGGCATTGTAATGTTCGCCGAGTCCGTAGGTGTGGCGATAGTAAGCGAGCCAGATAACGCGTTTGCGCTTCTCCTCCTCGCCCACGTTGTCGCTGTCCCCGGACTCAATCTTCTCCATCCGCCCATCCTTCTGTACAACGTTGATCTCCACGCCGTATGCTCGGGCAATCGCCTGCATCTCCAACTGCCCTCCCCACTCGGCGGTCAATTTGATCTTCCGGGTGTATGCCTCTAGGGGCTCTTCCATGAACGCCTCGAAGTCCTCTTTATGTTCCATAATGAAATCCGCCGTCACAGCTCGAACAGCTCGGTAGCCGTCATGTTGTGGAGAGGCGACTGTGTCGATGCGTGACTGTGTCGAGGGCTGGAGGACAATCCGGGTTGGGTCCGGCCGCAAGCCGAGTCCAGATTCGTCGAGTTGTTTGGCGACGGCTGAGTAGAGGCAGTGCCCATCCGGGGTCACTTCTATTTCCTTCAGACCCAGCTTTTTGAATACAGCGTCCATGACCTCCTGTTCATTGCCTCTGTAGTTTGTTTGGGTGGCGGCTTCTTCTGCTGCGGCGGCTGACTGCGCGGCTTGCTCAGCTGCACGTCGCGCGAGACGGGCTTTTTGGCGATTTGGCTTTTTTGAGTTGGATGCTGAGGAAGGCTCTGGGGTGGATTCGGCTGTTGGTTCTGCTTCTTGTGGCTCCTCGGTGGGTTTATCTTGTTTCGAGTCCTCCTCATCTGCCGGTTGATCATCTTCCAGATTGAGGTTTTCGAGATCTTCAGTCGGATCTCCGTTTAATTGTGCGATCTCGACCTGTTGTTTCTCGGACAGATCGCGCTGCATTTGCTCGCATTCATCGTTGATTCCTTTGCGAGTTTTCTTGGTGGCGGACTTTTTCTTTTGCGTGATCCGCCCTTGGAGATCTTTTTGCTCTTTGCGGTGTTTTGATAGAAGGTCGTCCATTGTGAAATAACGAAGCGAAAACAAAATAAACAAGTATACTGTAATGGGGGTATATGCTATGAACGAGAATAGCCTAAACACCTAGAAGAGACCCCGCGAAACCCTGACGATTTTGCCCTAAGTTGAGCCCCAAATAGGACTAGTGTATAATTACCGGCCCAAAGATATTCCATTCCCGCGTGCCTCGGCTTTCTCCAAGTACTCTCGGCCTCGGGTATGGGGGTGTAACGGGGGGAGCTACGAGGGAGAGATGTAACGACAGTAGCCTCTTGCCTTTAATTCTTTTGGTGTACTAAGTCTAAATCACAATCTCACAATGGATTCCACAAGTCTTTTCAACGTCAAGGTCAGACCACTACATACTATACCTCTCGGACCATTCTAACACGCTCCGCAGGGCAAAGTTGTGCTAGTCACCGGTGGAGCCAAAGGCATCGGTCGCATGATCTCAGAGGGCTATGTAACAAACGGTGCCACCGTCTACATCTCATCCCGTGATGCAAAGGCATGCGAGCAAGCAGCCAAGGAACTCAATGCCCTAGGCAAGGGCAAAGCCCACGCCATTCCGGCCAATTTCTATAAGCTGGAGGACGTGAAGAAGCTGGCCGAGGAGGTGGGCAAGCGTGAAGGCAGTAAGATACCATATCCAATGGAGACTAATATCATTTCTAACAACATGCCTCTTTCTTCTAGAACTCCACGTCCTCGTCAACAACTCCGGCTCGAATTGGGGCGCCCCATACGATGAATACCCCTCCGAGGCCTTCACGCGAGTCCTCACCCTCAACCTCCACCGAGTCTTCGATCTGACCCAGCTCGTTACACCGCTCCTAGAGAAGGCGGCTACACCGGGGGATCCTTCTCGCATCATCAACATTGGCAGCATTGATGGACTCCGTGTTCCCTCGCTCGAGACATTCGCATACAGTTCCAGCAAGGCCGGTCTGCACCACCTGAGCCGGGTGCTCGCCAACCACCTGGGCAAGCGAAACGTTACGTACGTATATATGCTGTGATTTGCTTTGCTTTCTTTGAGTATAGATGACTAATTTGGCTTGCAGCTCTAATACCTTGGCCTGTGGTCCTTTCGAAAGTAAGATGATGGCCGCTACCTTGGAGTCATTCGGTGATACCATCAGGGCTGGTGTGCCTCTGGGCCGCATTGGAACCCCGCAGGATGTGGCTGGGTCTTGCTTGTTCTTGAGTAGCCGTGCCGGTGCATTTGTGAACGGCGCCACTATCACGCTCGACGGCGGAAGTGCTGTCTCTGCCAAGTTGTGAGCAGTTGTATGAACGCTGTTTTGAACATAGTCTGTAAATAGCTGTGTTCATATAAGTATTCTTGATATTCTTTTGTTAGATGAATTTAAGCGTATAGTTACTCTGCATTGAGATTCGGAACAGAATCCCTGACATTCCAATGAATGGCTGATTACCATATTCGTCCAAGCCACAATAGTCTTGATTTTGGGTCACTGCTTTTAGCAAAGATTTGCAGTGATTTATATTTGCTTTTTATACATCGCATCTCCGGGCCTCGCCTTTTGAATCGTTTCCAAAATTGTTATCGAAAGGCTTATCAGCTCTGGAGCGGCAACATAAGTGGAGCGGCGACATCATCAATTGTGAATGCCGTCATTCCCTTCCCACCTCTCTTCCAGGTTCATAACATCTGTTTTTGTATCAAGTTTCTCTATCACTATCATATCTCATCCATTCTACAGCTTCAACACAACCCTTGAATTTGAGACTGTCTTAATCGCCATACAAAGATCCCCTAACTTTTCTGATCAGATCGTACCATTGGAGCACAATTACCCAGGTCATCATACAATATCAGGCCCATTGGAGCGCCTGTTCTCGCTGCTTTAAGTTTCTCGACTACCGGGAATAGTCGGTGTGGACGCATACCTGCGTAACGCACATTTGAATTTCAAATTGTGCCCTCCTTTCTTCTTCCGCCACACAGACCATGAGCTCGCCAGATGGGCGTACCCGGTCTGGTTCCAGCTCTACTGATCCTTTCTCGAATCCAGATGTCTACTATGGCAAGGAGGATAATATCAAGAAGTTCAAGGCGAGAAGACGTGCATTCTCGGTGGTAAGCAGCCATAACGCCTGATCGGTACCCCGCGGTAGAAGGTACATCAAGCTTATCTTTGTTTGACTGGGTACAGGGTTTGAACGACTACAGTCGCGAGGACATCAATCAATTCTTTGGAACCTTACCCTCTCGACGCGGTAGTCACGGTATGCTTGTTATAAATATGTCGGATATGCGGTTAGTGCAAGAGCTGACAGTAGTGGACAGATGAGGCATCGGGACAACCTCGGAAGTTCCTTATTGAGGTGGACAACACACTTGCAACTCTCTTGAAGCAGGAAGATACGGATCAGAATATGCAGATCACCATCGAGGACTTGGGACCTAAGGTATGCTTGATCATGTCCAACACTTTGAAGGCGACTGCTAATCGTTGTAGGTGATATCGGTCGGGACTGCAGCATCATCTGGACATAAGCGAGTTGATGTGCGAGGCACATACATGCTATCCAACCTCCTCCAAGAGCTTACAATTGCCAAAGACTACGGTCGCAAGCACATTATCCTTGATGAAGCACGACTGAGCGAAAATCCAGTGGCGCGGCTATCTCGTCTCATTAAGAACTCCTTTTGGAAGGCCCTCACAAGACGTATTGATGGATCCAACATTGAAGTTGCAGGTCGAGACCCCAAAGATTGGACTGCGGACCCGCGACCTCGGATCTATGTCCCGCCGGGTGCTCCAACGCAGTTCGAATACTATGAGCAGATTGCGAAAGATCACCCCGAGCTGCGTCTTGATGTGCAGATGCTGCCGGCTGTAATCACGTCCGATTATGTGATGGAACTTAACGACAAGCCTGGCCTCCTTGCACTGGCTATGGAGAAGAAGCTTAACGAATCCACCGGGGAGACTGATCTGGTCGGTGTGCCATTCGTAGTGCCCGGTGGTCGGTTCAACGAGCTCTACGGTTGGGATAGCTATATGGAGTCCTTGGGACTGCTTGTCAGCGACCGCGTCGACCTCGCTAAGGGCATGGTAATCAATTTCTGTTTCGAGATCAAGCACTACGGCAAGATCCTCAACGCAAACCGATCTTACTACCTCACTCGCTCGCAACCACCTTTCCTCACCGACATGGCACTGCGTGTCTACGAAAGAATCAAAACCGAGTCCGATTCCAAGGAGTTCCTGCGAAACGCTGTCCTCGCTGCCATCAAGGAGTACAATAGCGTCTGGGTTACCGCGCCTCGCCTCGACCCAGAGTCTGGCCTGTCGAGGTATCGTCCTGAAGGTTGGGGCGTACCCCCAGAGACCGAGCCCTCTCACTTCGTACATATCCTCGGCCCATATGCCCAGAAGCACGGAATGACCTTTGAGGAATTTGTCAAGGCATACAACTCCCGGACTATTGTCGAGCCCAAACTCGACGAGTACTTCATGCATGACCGATCCGTCCGCGAGTCCGGCCATGACACCAGCTACCGCTTGGAGGGCGTATGTGGAAATCTCGCCACAGTCGACCTCAACTCCCTGCTGTACAAATACGAAGTGGACATCGCACGGATCATCCGCGTACACTTCAACGATAAACTCCCCATCCCAGCAGAGTTCCGCACCCCCAAACCAAGGACATCGAAACCGAGTCCTCTGCAGTCTGGGACCGACGTGCACGCAAGCGCAAGCAGCGCATGGACCAGCTCCTCTGGAACCCCGAGAAGGGCATGTACTTCGACTACGATACAGCCAAGAAGGAGCGCACGGAATACGAAACCGCCACTACCTTCTGGGCAATGTGGGCTGGTCTCGCATCTCCTGCGCAAGCAGCTATAATGGTCGAAAGGGCCCTGCCCCGGTTCGAGGCGTTCGGCGGCTTGGTCTCTGGCACCGAGGAGTCGCGCGGTGCAGTGGGCTTGGAGCGCCCCAACCGACAGTGGGATTACCCGTACGGCTGGGCGCCACAGCAGATGCTTGCTTGGACGGCCTTCCTCCGCTACGGCTACCAGGAGGAGGCGGAGCGGCTGGCGTACAAGTGGGTTTACATGATCACCAAGGCGTTTGTTGACTTCAACGGCGTTGTCGTGGAGAAGTACGATGTCACTCGTCCTATTGATCCGCACCGGGTCGATGCCGAGTATGGCAATCAAGGCACGGACTTTAAGGGAGCTCCGCGTGAAGGGTATGTTTTGTCTTTTTTTTTTTCCTTTTTGTGGATAAGTTGGGTACTAATTCGATTACAGATTCGGCTGGGTGAATGCTAGTTATGTCTACGGACTGGAGATTCTCAATGCCCACATGAAACGCTCGTTGGGGACTATCACTCCGTACGAGACGTACCATAAGGCAGTTGTTGCTCAGGAGGTTTGATTGAATTTCGAATTTTGTGTTGCTGTTACAGTCAAAATTGTTGCACAGGGTTGTGTGAGCATGAGCAGCCAAGACGAGAATAGAAAAGCCCAAGTAGAAGTGGGCAAGATATTGGATCAGGACATCATCAGGTTGTGTTTACCCTGTCTAGCGCTGGTTTTCGGTTACGACTTGGCTTTTTGTCTTTCATTTTTTTCTAAGAGAAGCTCAATAAAATAAAAAAAAGAATGGTCGTTAATGTATATCTTCGGTTCACAGTATAATATGTACCAGCAGATGTATGTTTCGTACATGCTGCGATCTATTAACTATATACTTGTAGTAAATGGAGACCCCACCAAATGAGCTTCCAAGACTGGAGAGTATACCCCAGAACCACAACCCGAACCAAAGCGAAAATACGCCGATGGATACCTCGGTAGAGCAACAAGTCCCCGACCGAACAAAGACCGCACCTCAGAGATCCCGAAGGCGATAAGGCGTCATTATAGGGCTCTTCGCCACATAGGAGATCGATAATAAACGGGTGCGGAGCTAGGGATCCCTTATTTTCCCGAGGTAGTTCTCGTGGGCTCTGGGGCTGAAGGACTTAGTGTATGGGGCTATTTGTTTGTTTCTGGGTGGTCTTTTAGTATTCATTTTGTACAAAATTTCTGTTTAGATGTGTGGCAGTGTCGTTGGGTGTCTCGTTGTCTCGTTAAGCGTTTTCAAGCTTATCTGACATCTAATATTCATCCATGCAAGAGGCACGCGATTCAAGGTTGGGATATACAACATTGTTGTAGGTGAAAACATGGTACCAGGGATGTTCTCTTTAAACCTCTTACAGGGGATCCAAAGATACTTCGTTTCATGTTCTTGTTCCAAACCCCTGGTTTCAATTGTGTATGTTGTCGTTCCTGATCTACAAGTCTTATCGGCGCTGTATGCGGTTAGTTTGGAAGCTCAGTTGTGCCGAGGTCCAGTTCGTAGGGCGATTTTGAGACATTTTTCCTTTGATCAACCCGGTGGATCTCCTGCGATTGGATAGATGCATGTGCAGGTAATCTGGGAGTATCGTGTTTCCCGGCCTAAATTCGTGTAGATGTTAGGTCACGGAGATATATCCGGGTGTATGGATGACATATTGTATAATATGGAGGTATTACCGTGAAGATGTTGAATGGTGGATTGTGTAGTTTGTTGTTTCCAGTATATAACTACTTGGATCTACGCCTATAACCTTGGAAATTGAAGATATCAACACCGAAAAATTGCCGACATTCGACTTGTGGTACAGGTAAACGTCGAGTGGAGACTCGTCGAATACCGGGGCATGACAAGACGGCAAGGATGACTCAGATATTGTCAAGGTGCTCTGGACATTGTTTCTCTCCGAATAGCGGTGGTTTTGTTTTTATTTTATTTTTAATTGGCCAGATTGTAGCACGTATAGCTGAGTATTACGGAGAGAGTTTAGTCTACTTGAGACTATTCCCAAGTGAAGAAGATGCTCCGAATGTATACATAAGTTCAAATGATAGCACGTGAAAATTACCGTATTGTCACGGTAACGGCATGTGTCTTCGACGTCATCTGGTCTGAACATTTGAACATCAAACATCAAATAGTTAAACAATATCACACCAACTTGAACAATCAAGGACATCAAGGAATGAAAAGGGATATTAAAAGAAAAAAGCACTCTACATTCCTGTGAGATATGGATTATTGTGACACCAATGGAAGATTTGGCGTCAGCAGTGGCAAAGGGTCCATTAGACCGAGGATCATGACAGTCTGGATCCTCTCTTCCGAGCCCAGTTGTACCCGCTTTCCGCCTTTCGGAGCGCTTTGCCCGTGAAAGCTGAGAAAAGAGTCCACGAGTACCACGAGTGTACCTAGGCAATTGGAGAAAATGAGGAAAGGTATTCGCCTGAGTCCCGGTGAGCCGAGAGTTTACCGACTGTGACGCATTCGAATGTTCAATAAGTACCCCGGGCTTTTCTGGCTTGTGATCGCTTCTTCTTTTTTATTATAGTTTGGATTTCCCTTCTTACCTGGATATTCTTTTCTACATTTCTTCTAGTCTATATTTGTACCATTCTTTTCTGTATTATACCAAAAAGTCATGGGTCTACACGAAGATGAGGACCGCCAATTTGCGGCGGAGGTTCAGGCCGTTCAAAACTGGTGGAAGGACTCTCGGTGGCGCTACACCAAGAGGCCTTTCACAGCCGAGCAGATTGTGGCCAAGCGTGGTAATCTGAAGATCGATTACCCGTCCAATGTGCAATCAAAGAAGCTCTGGGGTATTGTTGAATCAAACTTCCAGGTAAGTTTAGCAGGGAAAGGTGGACCCTTCATGATTCTATAGATGCTAACGATATACTTCACGAAAACAGAACAAGCAGGCCAGCTACACCTACGGATGTCTTGAGCCTACCATGATCACTCAAATGTGCAAGTTCCTCGATACTATCTACGTCTCTGGCTGGCAAAGTTCGTCTACTGCTTCGTCAACCGATGAGCCCTCTCCTGATCTGGCCGATTACCCCATGGTACGTTAAAATATACTAGCGATATCAAAAGTAGGCGCATACTTACAATTACCCCACAGGACACTGTACCTCGCAAGGTGAACCAACTGTTCATGGCACAGCTTTTCCATGACCGCAAACAGCGCGAGGAGCGCGTTACTACCCCTGCTGGCCAGCGAGGAAACGTCGCCCATGTCGACTACCTGCGACCCATTATCGCTGATGCCGACACCGGACACGGCGGTTTGACCGCTGTCATGAAGCTGACGAAGCTGTTTGTCGAGCGTGGTGCCGCCGGTATTCACATTGAAGATCAGGCCCCTGGAACAAAGAAGTGCGGCCACATGGCCGGCAAGGTCCTTGTCCCCATCAGCGAGCACATCAACCGTCTGGTTGCCATCCGCGCCCAGGCCGATATCATGGGCTCCGACCTCCTGGCCATCGCCCGTACCGACTCCGAGGCCGCCACCCTCATCACATCGACCATCGACCACCGCGACCACGCCTTCATCGTCGGCTCCACAAACTCAAGCATCCAGCCTCTTAACGACATGATGGTGGCTGCCGAGCAGGCCGGAAAGAACGGTGCTCAGCTGCAGGAAATTGAGGACCAATGGATCGCCCAGGCCGGTCTCAAGCTCTTCAGCGAAGCCGTGATCGACACTATCAACGCCGGCTCCAACGCCAACAAGAAGGCCCTGATCGACCAGTACCTCACTGCCTCCAAGGGCAAGAGCAACACCGAATCCCGCGCCATTGCCAAGAGCCTCACCGGCGTCGACATCTTCTGGAACTGGGAATCCGCCCGTACCCGCGAGGGCTTCTACCGCTACAAGGGCGGTACTCAGTGCGCCGTCAACCGCGCCGTCGCATACGCTCCCTTCGCCGATCTCATCTGGATGGAGAGCAAGATGCCCGACTACAAGCAAGCCAAGGAATTCGCCGACGGTGTTCACGCCGTGTGGCCCGAGCAAAAGTAAGTTTTTGTCTCCACTGAGTTTCTCCCTTATACTATGTTGTAGAACCTTTACTAACAAACCCCGCTAGACTCGCCTACAACCTCTCCCCGTCCTTCAACTGGAAGAAGGCCATGCCCCGCGACGAGCAGGAGACCTACATCAAGCGTCTCGGCGAGCTCGGCTACTCGTGGCAGTTCATCACTCTGGCTGGATTGCACACCACCGCGCTTATCTCGCACCAGTTCGCAAAGGCATTCTCGCAGAACGGCATGCGCGCCTACGGCGAGCTCGTCCAGGAGCCGGAGATGGAGCAGGGCGTTGACGTCGTCACCCACCAGAAATGGAGTGGTGCTAACTACGTTGATAACCTGCTGAAGATGGTTTCCGGTGGTGTTAGTAGTACTGCTGCTATGGGTAAGGGTGTGACCGAGGATCAGTTCAAGAACTGATTTTATCGTGCCGGCTCATTGTTGATACCCTGATGGTCTTGGCTGTCTATCTTTATATATGTGCTTGATGTCTTGTGATGTCTTGTGTTTGTTGATTGTGGCGTTTTTTTTTCCCTTTTTCTATACGATCTTGATTTGATTCCCTGTCGGTCTTGCTCTCCTGTTGGATGGTGGACCGATTTTATTTTGCATTTTGGAAATCACAGCATATTTGATTCTTTAGCTTGAATAAATGTGATTATTTCGGAGATATTCTGGTGAATTTATAGATGGAGGCCCGTAGAAAAGCTCTGTATAGCGGAAAAAAGGGTGGTCAAAGAAGGGTAGGGAATCAGGCAGGCACTTGTCGTTGGTTACTAAAGTAAACACAAGGGGTGTTCTACAGTATTCCTCAACCCTTTCGTATCTAAAAAGAATCCGTGCGATGCCAGTCAGATGGTTGCTTCACGCCGGCTATTTTGAACCAATTTGGCATGACATCTTCTCCACAATCGGCTTCAATGAAACCTCCACCCGGAGCGGGTCTTCCTTTTCGAGACGAGTTCGGCATTAGCCCAATGGAGTACATTCGCCATGAGTCCCATAAAAGTACACCAGATCGTCGATAAGGCGAGATATCTTCCATTGCAGCACAGGGACGTCGGCCACTGTGACCACGCAAAGCCCTATGGCGTAGTGATCGAAATAACATGGTCTGTCCAGAGGACTTATGGCAAAATGGTAGAGTCAAATGCCAAGCCTTCGTCACTGGATCTTCGACGGGTGTTTGTGGTGGACACCAGAGTAGAGAATGATCGTTCCCAACAGACCGGGCGGGCTGAAAGGACGAAAAGAATGGTATCGGTGTGTTTGGGGGCAAATCCCAGGCGACCGTGGACGGATGCTGTAGCGCTAGCGATTCTCCAGTAGAAGGTGATATTAAAGAAGCTCCCAATTCCACCAATACCGAAGCCACCGTCCAGATCTGTTCAGCTCTAAAATCATGTATTTCGTTGAAGGTAGTATACGCATCAAGTTTATTGATTGATTCTCTCGACCAGATCCAGTTCTGATCAGTCGAAGGGCCTTCGGCA